AAGGAGGAGAAAAAGGAAAAAGGAAAAGAGAAAAAGAAAGAGAATGAGAACGAGAACGAGATCTATACAATGAATCTGGATCACAGCACTCCACATTCCTGTGCTAGTCAACAGTGGAGTGGTTTCCCATGAAGAGTGCCAGTGAAATCGACCATACTCCACTACAGTTGCTGTTGTGAAGCCAACCATATGGATTTTGTTATACACTCAAAGCAGCTTGCAAGTTATTTGGCACTTTCTGCATTTTAAATATTAAACATGAAAACCCAGGAACAAATTGATTCCAAAACATAATTTTAATCCACAGTATAACAACATTGTGCTAAAAAAGTATTAAATATCAAGCAGATAATCTAAGCAGACATTAAGTTGTCCTGAACTGTATAAGGAAAGATGCATTGAAATATTCTAAATCAATTCTACAACTATGACAAACACACAAAAGTCACGAACCTGAAATACTGTTTACTAACCAGCTAAAACTTGACAGAGTTCTACTCTTCCTCTACTCCAAGAGCTGATGAGGTCCTTCAAATTTTGGCCACTCCTTCAAATTTTGATGCCATATTGGAACTTTTAATGTGACAGAAAGCAAAAATGACTGCTGTAATTGTATAGAGAGCAGTTATACTGATGGTACTTAAATTTTAATTAATCTAATTTAATTATAATAAACTGAATTAAAGTGTAGGTCTCTTGCAGATGGCCCCATTAAAGTGCTATCCACCAGTCCTTTTAGGAAAAGTTTTTTTTTTAATTTGTTCAATCATGTCCAATCCTCAGAGACTGCCTAGACAAATTCTTGCAGTTTTCTTGGCAAGGTTTTTCAGAAATGGTTTGCCATTGCCTCCTTCCTAGGGTTGAGAGAAAGTGACTGGGCCAAGGTCACTCAGCTGGCTTTGTACCTAGGTGGGACTAGAACTCACGGTCTCCTAGTTTCTAGCCTGACGCCTTAACCACTACATCAAACCGGCTCTCAAGAAAAAGTATGCTGACCCTTTTGTTTAGTTTAATTTTAATATTTGGGCTGTCCTTACTCATCTACTGTGGGCCAAATTAAGCATGGGATTCCCTCAGCTTTGTTCCCTCTTCCATCAACCAGCACAAAAATAATCCTCAGTGATTCTCCCTAATGTGAGATTAAGCTCATGCAGGTAAAGGTGGATGCTTAGAAGGTTTAATCACCTCTCAAGTTGCCTGATTTGATACAGAGGGGTTGACTGGGGTAAAGTGGGAGAGGGTGTCCAGTGCTCCTGCTCAACATAGCTCCTCCTCTGTTTACAACCCCTCAATCAAGCTATTTCTGAATATGGTCTAGCGCTTCTCTGCAGGGGTACCAAGCCCATGTTCAAAACTAGCTCAGATGAGAGGCACAAAGAGGGGTAAAGGGTGAAGTGGGAGGACGCGATAATGAGATAGCTGCATCTTTGACTAGCGTTGCAAGAGAATGGCAATGCTGTCAGTGAGTGACAAGTAATACAGTTCTGACTTTGTGGCTGGCACCAACTGCCAAACTACAGTTGGCAAAATGGTGTCTCCCCTCCCCTTAATAAAAACAGTAAAATGTATGTCTATGCAAAACCCCTTGGCCACAGCAGCAGTGGAAGACCTGTAATGGACCTCATGGAAACAGAACTAGGAATATGCAGCTGGGAGAAACCAACTCTCTTTCCCAATTTAAATCAACCTTCTATAAGCACAGGACTAGCCCCAGCTCAAGAGAACTGTCGTCCAAATTTTAAATACAGGCCTAGTGCTCTTCCAAAAGCATTATGAAAAGCTTCCATTAGGGATTAGGTAAACAGATGCCTCTGATGAAGCCAAGTGTCCAGTCTGTCCTGCAACACAAGACATAATGGCCGTAGTGTGCAATTCCCAGCAACCTATCCAGTGTTCAAGGTAGACCAGAATAGGATACCAGAGTTATGAATGCTAATACTACTTTATTATAAAGTTATAGTAACAGAATCTTGCAACTCTGAATGTGCTTCCCTCCTCCCTCCCTTTATCTTCATGACAACTATGTACAAAGATGTACACATAGATAAAGATGAAATTATGGCCTCTTTGATGCCACAGCACTCTTTACGTCCATACACCCAGAACTAGCAAAAGAATCCATATCAGCAGTACTACACAACACACCCAACCTAACCAAATACACCCAGATCAAAATACCCAGAATCATGGACCTTATCAACCTCTGCCTCACTACCTATCTTCAGTTTGATGGACAAATATACTAACAAATCAGAGGCACACCCATGGGATCAGAAACGTCTCAGAAACTACCAACAGACTATTATAACCACATGGCATCTCTGTAGCACACAAACCAACAAAATCACTCCAAAGTATCTTTGGAGTAAACCAAAAGACCCAGTAGCCCAAGAAGAAAAAAACAGGAGTCATCTACAACATACAGTGTACGGACTGTAACAACCACTATGTAGGACAGACAGGCAGAAGGCTAGCAGAGCACATCCATGAACACCAACCAGCAGTCAGAAGACACAATGAAAACTCCTTAATCTCACAACACATGAACAGACC